GCTGGGTCCAGATGGGATTGTTGGGATGAGGGTAGTTATCTATCTGAAGAATACATGACAACATTTTGACCAGGGACAGCCAACTGGGATGAGGGAATAACTTGGGTTGGTTGTGAGCTCTTGAGTAGACAATGACATAAGAGAATGTATTCTCTATATGTAATTCTCAAATTTAATTCTGGGCTTTAATTTCAATAATAAACCACTACCGCTTGGTTTATGGAACCATCAGCACAGGGTAGACACTGGGATGGCATGTTTATGTGTGGAATGGGAGGTAAGGGTTATGTTTTCCAACTTGTCTACAATCTTTGGTTGTTCATTCATGATTTATGCTTCAGCTTAGTCAAAACTATTAAGGAGAGGCTAGACCTTATATTTCTGAAGGTTCCTCTACCTCCACATTATTTGATGTTCTTTCCTGGTTTCCCTAGGCTATGATAAAATTAAATATCTAAGAAGTATAAGCTGTGCTATCAATCTAAGCCTTACTAAGACCATTCCAACAGGGGCAGAGGAAAGGAGAAGGAGAAAGAGAACAAATACTGACTGAATGAATATACAGGGGGATTACCTTTTTAATCAACATTAAATCTTGGCAGATCAAGATTGGGATTTACCTGTCTGTTTCTGGAAGCTAACTTATTAACTGCCCAGTAGAATATTCCTTCCAGGATCTATATGTAGAACGATAAGCCTACAAGATGCTGGTATAGTGAGCACACATGCATGGAAGCTGGTGGAGCTTCACCCCTTAGGGCACAGCCAGTGACCTACAGAACTAGCACAGCATCTACATGCCGGATTCCCTTTGGGACTGAGGTGCGACAGGATGTGCTGTCTGCAGCTTTGCGAATTTAGTTCATTGGCTGCCATCAGGTGGCCCTGATAGCACCAGGTAAGGGTCTTTAAGTATAATGTCTAAAGTTGTAGTGAACAGCAGAAAAGAAAGACAAAAGTCTATTATATAAAACAGATGAGCACAATATTCCTTCCCAAGAGGCCATCCAGGCACACATCTGAGAAAGAGGAAAGTCTGCAGCTTTGGATGGTGACAGCATCTTAAGACTGGCCCAGACTAATCTGGTTTAAGCCCCAAATATGACCTACATTCAAGCAGCAGATAGTGGATCAAAATCGGGGTGACACATTTTCTCTCACTTGCTTTTTATCCTGGAGCCTTTACAACCTACCTGTCATGAAGGAGAAAGTACTGTTGGCCGGGTCTTGGAGAAATCAAGGACTGTGTTTTTGAGGCTAACAAATAAACAAAGACCTGTGCTCCCTCTGCTGGCCCTCCACAGCAATATTAAAGTGGGCAGGAGCCATAAACAGTGTTGGCATCTCAAGCAAACACTAGTCAATCCAGAGATACTGAGAATCAATCTCCTTGAACTTGGTTTTAGACATTCCTCAAAATAAAACCATACTCTTACCAACTTCTGACCAAGGCACCAGTTCTGAAAGTTAGATATTACAAGAGACATACCTACTGTATGTAAATTGACAAATTGCTAGCTGTGACCACAATAGTTATTTTTGGATCCATTTATCAACAGACATAAGTGGATTCCTCCAAGATTTCAAGGTCCAGACACAATCTTTAGAGCAGGTCCAAGAAACAAAACAAAACAAACAAAACCCCAAAACAAAACACCCCAAACAACAACAACAACAACAACAACAACAACAAAACCACATACAAACAATAACAACAACACACTAAAAAGAAAACCCCTATGCAAGTCCAAACAAGTTTCTTTCCCCCTTTTTGTTCAGTAAGAGCAGCTCCCAAAGGTAAAGATTTACACTATATCCCTTTGGATAATGTCAAACATCAGACTGGATTCTCCAAGTCATTAGCATGCAGAAGAATGACCTCATGGTGAACAGATGCACTTGGCTGTGAGCTGCAGTGATTACATCAGTCCCTCCCCAGCACTCGAGGGTGTCCATTCCTGTTAACCCTTTACAGGCCTCTCTGCTGGTCCCCTTCTTTGAGTACATGAAAACATAAACTTAGTCCTCTATTACCACAGATGTGTGGGTTAAAAGAATATAAATATGCATGTATAAAACATATATGTTAATATTGGCTATCTTTTAGATTATTTATTGCTTGTCAGTAAGGGAAGGGACCAAAAGGCAAACCACAGGCCAGGTTAGGTAAAAAAGCCATCCAAATACCATTCATACAGAGTATTATTAGCGCAAGCAAGAGATGCAACAGATACCAAGGGCTCCTTTAAAATTGCATTTCTGATTGGAAGATGAATCCTCTTTTAAAACTCATATATTAGACCTGTGCCCCTATTCAGAGCTCATAGTGCATCATGGACAGGTGTACATATTTGGGTGACCTCCAGGGTTCCAAGGCTAGGGAGTGTGGGAGGCACGGACATTTCCCATCAGTAGTGTCTCTGGCCAGGCTCACCTGGCACATTTTCCTCTCTTTAGAGGTGTGCTGCCTTCTGGATGTGCTGCACTATACACTTCAGGTGGTTTCCTGAAAGCTAAGGATACAAACAAAGCCTAGGAAAATCTGTGTGTGTGCCTATAAGGAGCCCAAGGCCCTGCTTTGATGACATTGATGGCCATAGAGGGTCTGGCTAGGCCCTGTGCACTGTGGGAGCTTAAGCAGTTCAGGGTCAATTTTTCCAGTTGGTTTGTTGCTTGAAAGAGCAGGCTTCACCTCAGTTTCTGAGTGTAAGTTGGCAGGGCTGAGCTCATGTAGGTTTGACTGCTTGTCCCCAGAAATGAAAACCACTGTAAATCAGTGGAAAATGTTCCTCTCTGGGAAAGCAGAAGTAGGGGTGGGAATTCTGCAGAAGTGAAGTCTGGACATAAGCCACGAAGTTACAGCGCTGAGATGGGACCTGTGATGGGGGCTGATGAACCCCATCCTCGCTGTACTATCCCCACACTGTAGTTCAGATAGATTTTATTTCTAGTTCTTTCCGAATCACTGTGAAGGGCAGACAGAAGCTGTGAACTGCAGGAAAAGTGAGGCTAATGTTGATTGATCTGAAAGAAGGACGAACCACATTTATTTTGGTTTTCATATTAGGTTTCTTACTCCATGTATAAAAGTTTTAATACCTGCCCTGACGAGTTGTCAGAATTTTTATTAAGTATTTTTTTTAAAGACATTCTCTAAAAAACCTATTAACCACCCTCCCGCAAGTGGTCACACAAACCCAAATGCTTCTACAGTCTCACTTAAGCTGTTACTAGGAACTGAATCTGAACTGGTTTGAATCATGGTGAACTTTATTTATACAGAGGGTAAAATATACACAGAAAATAACATCTGTCATTATCTCAATAACATCGATAATCATCAACCTTAAAAATAAAAGTTAAGAAATTTAAATATTTAGTTATTTCATATTTTCTTTTATTTTTAAGAAATAATTTTCTTTTTCTTTAAAGCTGAAAACAAAAACAAAAGCCTGCACTGGGAAACCGGTCCCAGCGCCTGCAGAGGACGAGAAGGGCGTGAATGGAGCACTGCAGCATCAGCTTCCTTGTGTTCTTTCATGAAAAAATCACACAACTTTAAACCTCTAGCAGACTGGGTACGAAATCTTCATTTCCCTTGAAACAGATTTTTTTTTTGTCTTAGATAGAATGCTGGCAGAGTGTATAAAAGAATTCAATTCACAGCTGTTCTACTTTTTTAATGCAAGAAACATTAATCAAAGCTTTAAGTTATAAGCCTTTCTCATGTTGCTCAGTATCCCAGTTCAACAAAGATCAATAGAGGCCATCCCTGTGTTTCTCTCGCCTCACCAGGAAGCAGAGGCGTGATTATGTAAATGGAGCTCCGCACCTCGGCCAGCTTGCTTATCTCCCAAGCCTTCTGCCTGCTGCTCCTGGCTCCCCATGCAAGTGCCTGCCTCTCTCTCTTATCTCCCAACAAAGCTCCGAGAGGCACGGACTGAAGCCAGCGATGTTAAACAATGACGCATGGCTGATTTTATTTGTAAGTGATTTATTTCACTGAATTTGATTTTTTTCACTTTGTGTGTAAGATATTTGTTAACAAGTCAGCACAGGAGAAGCAAGGCTGTGTTCAGAAGCAATTAGCACGGGCTAGAAATCTATTAAGCGTCCTTATAGCTATGCTTAAGCAGGGAGGGTGAAAGAAGCCCTTGTTGAGAATTTCAACATGTGGAGACTAAATATCCCACCTACTCTCTGACAGGCAATTCATCTGTAACAACATGCAAAAATGCACAAGTAATAATTTTATTCTTTGACAAAAGTCCCATACCAAAATACCAACAATTTAATAATCATGCCAACAATTTAAGCGGCAGTACGTATTTTTTCAAACTGACAATATTATATAAAGATAGTACGTGTCTAAAAATGAGAAAATCCATGAAAAATTCTGCAGTTCCACTGGGCTACTAAATGAAAACCATTATAAGCCACTTTCTAAAGGCTCCACACCAGGTGCTGCTCTGGTCGGTGGCTTGTCCGCATGACACCAACCACTCCAGAGAGCAGCGTGCACGCGGCACTCTGTAATGATGGGCCTGGGGACACTGTCCTTCCATGTCTCCGGCATTAATCCCTGACCCTCCTATCTCAGCGGCATAATCCCCATTTAGCATTAGTAGCAACGGCTTCAACTGTGAGAACTCTTTTTTTGATAAGTACGCAGTGATTTGGGCATCGCTTTTAAACAACATATTCCCAGCTCAGCAAGAAACCCACACTCCTGAATGAACCGGAGCACATTATTGAGAAAAAGTTCATTAACCTTGCTAGATTCGAGGGTTAACAGGATAGCTGAAGAAAGGAACACAGCGAACAGCTCGGATACAAAACAAATTAAAATGAATGTCATCATTCCTTTTGAAATTCATTAGTTGATTCAGAGGGTGAATGTTCTTCTTAAATTTGCAAGCATTTATCTGTGAAAAACAGGTGTACATCTGCTACTCAAATGCATCTTAAGCGGGAGGGAGGAGAATAAAGTAGACACTCACCCGTTCCACTGAGAGAGTAGCTGGGAGAGGGAGAAAAGACTTGAGCTGCGAAATCCTCAAATGTCATGACTTCCCGGTGGTTCTGAATTATTGCTTCCAGATACAGAGCTCGCTCTTCGTAGCTGCAGTAATTGGTTAAGGAGACAAACGCACGTGCAAATGGCATGCGGAGTGACGGGCAATTTGTTCTAAATGCAGTTAGTTACTAGGCCTTCCCCATTTTGTGTGAAAACCTATCTTGGAAACTCTTTAGCTTTCTGCCAGAGTGTTAGATATTTGTCACACACAATAGTGAGACGCTAGTTTTAAGGCCTAGATTTCTTTTGGGCTTCAACTATATCCAACAGTAATATCACTAAAAAAAATACGTGCATCAAAAGTTACAGGATTATTTCAAAGCACTACATTATCTCTAAGGCTGACTTAAGAACAAGACAGGTGGGTGATTGTGACAATGCTGCGGTGGCAGGATGTGGCAGCCTTCGTCTTCACTCTCCAACTGGGCCAATGAGAATTCTCAGCCTAAAAACACAGGGAACTGATACTGTAAGAGCTGGCTACATCGTTCAACAAAAGTAAGAAAATGAATGTTATTAGAAAGAGAAGGCTAGGAACCATATTCTGCAAGGGCATCAGAGCCTCTGACCAGGGTAAGTGATGAGCATTAGAAAATAAGAATGGATGTGGAGGGTGTAGCAAATGCTGTACAATACAACTGCAAGAGAGAGAGAAAGAGAGAAAGAGAGAGAGAGAGAGAGAGAGAGAGAGAGAGAGAGAGAGAGAAACCATTGCCTTCTAATTAAAGCTGCAGCCTGGAACACACAACATTCAAATGTGTAATCAAAAACCAGTCACCAATAAAACTTACAAGCGTAACACGCCGAAGCAACTTTCCAGCTGTCTTAATAGGACCCCTGCGTGTGGCAGCCTTTCACAGGGCAGAAAGCAAATCTTCCCCTTTGTGTGAGCTTCTGTTTCCTCTGAAGGTGAATCATGCACTCTCAATAACAGGAAACGTCAGAACGATCTGACAGTGAATGGAGGCGCTGCACATGTAACTTTAGGAATTAACATTCGGGGAAGCTGGCATGATGTCTCATTTCCCCCTTCCTCATTATTGATGCAAAAGTTAAAGGATGTGTTTTGATTATTTTGAAAATTGTGCCATTTCTTCATGACCACAAAACCCAGGGAATGCAGATTCCTATTGGTTTGTTATCTAGGGCTGCAAAGAAAAAACATGATTCTCTATATATCAGTAACAATCCATGTATCTTAAAAGAATCTTTTCAAGTTGTCCACTTGGAAAATTTAGGCTGGGAACAATTACACATCTTGTTTTAAAACTAGGGACACTCTTCTATTTTCTTTTGGCAAGGTCACACTGATTTCTGGATGTAGGCTTGCTCTCCCCATTGCATTATATCTTCAGGGAATGGTGTCACACCGTGAGGGGATAAGAGTCATTCTGGAACAGTGCTGAATTACCTGGTAGCTATGTGTGACTACCAAAATTGAAATGTTCATTAACTGAAATGTAAAAGGAACAACTACACTTCTCTGCCCCACTCCATATATCTCAAGCATTCAATAATCACAAGAGCTGGGGGCTGCTAAGCCAAACAGCAGATACAGGATGTGTGAACAACTGTAGAAAGTAATATCAGGATCTGCTTCGTACTAGAAGTCCCCTTTAAGCTTGCTCTACACAACTCTTTTTTAAAAAATAAAGAAAATGTATTGGAAGTTTTCACAAGTGCCCCTCTGAAGATTTATGATTTTTTCTATGGACGGTCAAACAGCCTCAGGCCTGGGCAGCATGCTCCAGAGCTGGCTCCCAGGCCGTGGGTTGAACTCCTGGTGACTTGCCTTAATGAACAGGCTGCCAAACTTCCTCGGTGAGAGGCGCCTGCTCAGGCCCAATTCTAGAGGGATCCACTAATGCCATTCACGTCTCATTATGAGCATGCTCATTCTGCACAGCACTTGGCTGTCACCGCAGAGCGGCCCTCCGTGGATGGCCCCAGCGAGCCACTGGTCCCGGGAACAGCAGGACGTTAGGCCTGAGTGGCCGTCTGGCGAACAGGCCCTCTCACTCTAAGCTGGCACGTGCTGGCCCAGCAGGGGCTGAGCCAGGCGTGACAAATTACTCAAAGAGCTGAGCTAAACTTATGGCTGACAACCACCTGAGCCTTCAGACTGCTGTGGCCCACTGTCAATGTTCAATTCACGGCTCCCCCCTTTTCATTACAGGCTGCTTGTGGGCCTGGCTTAGAGCAGACATGCCCCTCTAAAGACCTGTCACACTCTGCCTACTATCATCCTCTGTTTCCTGAAAGGTCCCACTGTGTCCAACACATCCCCATACAGAGCTGGGAATAACAGTGAACAACACAGAAATGTGTGTTCCCTTTGCTAGATTCTCCACGGAAGACTTCTCTAGAAAGTAACCTTGTTCATCAAACTCACAATCAAACCTACAGGACTGCTGAACACAGATCCCAGGTGGCTGCCCATCATCTGCATCCTAGATGACACCATCCAGCTGTCAAGAGGCTGGTCCCTGTCATGACCGAGAGATCTGGGCTCTTAGGAGGAGGCCTAGCAATGCACTCACAGGGGGCAGGCATCACGTTTTGGGATTCTCCCGCTCTGTGAAGGTTTATGGTCTGACTCTTGTACCACAGAGCTACAGACACTAGAGAGAACCAAAAGGGCTTCAGAATTGAATACGGAAGGAGGAAATGATCCTTCACAGAAGGTTCCCGATCTTGCCATCCAGGCCTTAGACTGTCACGGTCACACACACTCTCCATCCCTCTCAGCAGTGTTAACTGGCTTTAAACTGGGTGTTGACATTTAGACAAACATCTATGGGGGTTGGGTAAGACTAAGAGACATCAAATGCAACTCACTTGGGTCCAAGCCAGAGCATGTTAAACATCATGACAAAGAGAAAGCAAATATGACCCCAGCTTGGACAATGCTTCAAACAGCTAAGAACACATGCATGTCCCAAATCATTTGTTTAGTAGTCTTAGCAAAAACACAGCCCTGGTTTATTTATTTGTGTATGGTGTATATATGCATACCTGTAGATGTGTACATGATTATGTGATGGTACATGCATGCATGAGAGTACATGATCCTATATGTGGAGAGCAGAGGTCTTGTGAAACATCCAAATTTCTTCTAACTTTCACTGCTCTCTGAGAAGATCATGAATTTCAGAATACATGGGTCAAGTTCAGGATCTCATGCAAGGTTGGGAGCTAAATTCCCAATGAGGACAAACCACCAAACTTAAATATTTGTGGGCTACAAAAACCAATCTTACACATGTTTAAGCTGACTCTACACACAGGACACGCTGACTGCAAGGAATACAGAAATCCACAATTCTCCCGCTTTAATCTTCCTCTTCCCTCACCCCCCCCCCACCTCTCCTTACTTGGGTTCTGTGATGGCTGACCGTTGACCACTTCAACCATCTGCCCTAGAGTTTGGAAAAGGCACTCTGCGGGCAAGTTTTTTCTTTATTTTTTTTTATTTTTTTTAATCCTTTGGAACCTGTGTTGTTCAGCCCTTCTCTATATTTTCCAAGTGTGGACATGATATTCAGACTGGCCTCGGGGGAAGGTTGCCTTGTGATATTGGGGTATGCGCCACATCAGTCACTTAATGTCCCTACCCTGAAGGTTCCCAACACTTGCAGCAACTTATTAGTGACACAAACAAGCCATCTTTGAAGCCACCAGCCTTCTGACTCTCCAGTGGCCATTTACAAAGGAAAGGAAGTCTTGTTTTAGAATGTCAGAGAGGTGTGACATGCTCCCCTGAAGAATCCTGTTCCAGTGCTGACAGTGTTCCAACTCTTAGTCTACCAGGGTCATCGCCATCTCATCACACAGCTAGCTCCCAGGCTAGCTTTCTGGGCTTGGTGAAAAGGAGCACCAAGTGAGGGCTTTCAGACTTCCCCTCTTACTAGTTTTGGAAGGCTGGAGCTCCAACTCAGCAGACCTATTCTCTTCTCAGAGACTCTGAGAAATTCCATTCTCCTTCCTTCAGATGCCAGGAGGATGTTTACACTCCTGCTTGTATGGCCATGTGAGCTCTTGTGTGTCTATCAGCAGAACACTTGTCACAGGATTTAGTTCCCACTGGAGAAGCCAGGAGAACCCTCATCTCAAGGCCTTAACTCACTAAAAGGTTCCTGTGATCCGAAACCACTCTGGGTTCAGCCTTACATCACAGCTGCTGCTTCTAAGTCCTCTACACATGTTTATTGGGTAGATAAATGACTGCCTAGGACCTATGCCCATTGCTTTGAGCTGTGATGCACTACATGCATTCTAGGCAAAGACCGTTTGTGGGGAGGTTATAGTTTTCAATGTTAAGTACAGTTCTGCACTAGAAAATAAAGTCAGTGGCATGAAACTTACAGATGTATGGACATCTGCCTACGACCCTGGTAAATAAAAAGTTTATTAAACAAGAACCAAAATATGAAGTAAAAAGGGGAAACCTGGTACATCTGGCCACAGTCACACAAAGGGTTACTACTCACCACCAAGCTTCAATGAGAGGCAAAAAGCAAACACAAGCACCTAGTGGGTGGAGGCACAAGCTTAGTGTCCAAAAAAAAAAAAAAAATAGAAAACCATGGAGAAATACAAATTATGCACTATAAAAAATCAATAAAAGGCAGGTCTTCGGCCATCAAGGTGCCAGATATCATTAATATCCAGCATTATAAACACAATAAGGTACTGTTTTATATATACCAGACTGGTAAAGAATAAAACACAAAACAATGCCAAACAGCAGCAAACACACAGGGCACAGAACTCTCAAAATCCATGGTGTGAGGCAACTGTCCTCATCTCTTGTGAAGGCACTCTGACATTACTAAGTACAGACAGTAAGAAACATGAGCCAAAATTTTGACTACGTAACATATGAATTCATGCTACGTGTGCTTGTCTAGGAAAGCTCACAGCATCCTGAGATGAAAAAGAGAAAGAATCTATTTCCAAATTCCCTAAGAAACACGGTCACATCGTGAACTAGTAAACGGCAGTGAATCTGGATGAACATGTTCATTAACATTAACAAGTGCATT